AAGTCAAAAATTACAAAATGTGAAGTTTATATAAAAAAAACATTTGTCTGCTCTTTGGTCGGGTTGTTGTCTCTCTGACATATTCCCCATTTCCATTCTCAATTTTATGTATGTTATCAAAACAAAATAGAAATGGTCAGTGGATGAAAAATCACAATTATTACATTTGTAAATCTAATTATATATAAGGTCCGAGGACACAGTTATTGTCCTTTCATTTTCATTGTCTACAAATATAGTCCCTAGTGTGGACAGTGTATAACTTGCAAATTTTGTTCATACACTTTTCAAATTTATTTCTTTATATTTTATGAATTAAATTTTAAGTATGGAGATGAAATTACATTTAAAAAAAATTTGGGTGAAGAATTTTTATGTAAAGTAGTGATTTGGTCCAGTTAAAAAAGGTCAAAAATTAGTATTTCTGAAGTTGTCAAACTGAATTATAGACCCCCTTAACATAGAATTGTCCATATTTTGAGTTAGAGCTGGTAGATTTTTCAATAATTTTGATATTATTTGTACAAAAGTAGTACACTACACTGTAAAAATATTTTTGAGATAGAGCAGGTACGATTTTTTTAATCTGAATTTATTGTCTAAAAGAAATGCACTACGAAATAGCTGTGTTCTCCGGCCGTATAACCATTAATTCTCCATGATAAAAGATGTGAAATATGAATAAAGCTGTCCCAAAATTTACTTATTATAATTAATATGCATCATCATTTTGACTTGCAAGCGAGTTACATGTAATATATTATATAAATTGAAAAGTAGAGAATATCAATTCAGGACACAAAATCAATCCATGAACATGAAAGATGGCACATATGTATATATATATATATATATATATATGCAAGGTAAAGGAACAGTGCTTTTAATGCTGGTCTTCATCTTGAACTCATAATTCAACACAAGACAATATTCATGCCATAACTGAGCAATTAGTATTTAATCTACTAGCCTTCAACATGTTCAAACAAAATATCAACAGTTGTCCCTATACACATTTGATAATTTTATTATTCGTATGATTTGGTTCAAAATATAGGTTGTTGTACTGTTCCCGATGTAATCATGCATATCAAATATAGACAGGTAACTATCATATTTCGACCGTAAACCAGTTTTTACAATGGGTAAGCTTAATTCAGAATTTGGATGACGTCCGCTGGTTAACAGTAATAATTTGGAATGATATGAAGTGATGATACTGGGTTATTATCTGAGTAACATATGCATTGTAAAAACAGCCAACATGAAAAACTACAAGGTTTTCATTATTTTCTCACACGTAAATATTTACTATATGCTTTTTATGTGAATTGAGCATGCACAAACAGACAACATAGCTAGTCTTCTCATTATTCTCAATATTATGTTCACAAATTAAAATGAACTGCTTTGCTGAGCACAGCTGGATACGCCCACAGAGGTCCAACCCTGAACAGTTGGGGCAAAAATGCAGTGATCGGGAAGGACTTGCACTTATCAACCAGAAATGGTGCATAGAGTGACAAATGTAAGCGCCCGCGTGGCGCATGATATTTTTCACTTCGTTTTGAAACGTTGAGATATTGTCAAATGGATTTCCGATCGTATTTCGTGCCGCCATGTGTGAGTACACAACTGTGTAGTGTTTACTCCAATGATAGGAGCACATATATATTTTTGGGACATCTCAGGTGTTTTCCTATGATAATAATAGCAAAATGCGGTATGACTGATTACCCAAAAAACGTAGTTAACCATTATTCATGATATAATTTTTTATAAACAACTTTAAATTTGTGAAAATTGGCTAGTACAGGCGAGAATTCTTCTCTAATTATAACCTTTCAAGTAAGCTTGCTATTATTTCGATTGAAAAACCCAAAAGCCTTTTTAAGAGTAGCATAGTATTTGTCTCCATAAAAGGGGCTTAACTGTCCTTGTCATTTTTTGGGGTCTTTGGCTCGTTTTGACATTTTGTAAACATGCCTTCAGCGAATTGTTGTTGTGTCTTATCAATTAATGTTGCTCTCTACTGTTATTCTTGTCATCGTGATGAAGTAATAATAATACAAGTGCAGATGAAATGCCAGAAACTTCCTCTAATACGGAACGTCTGGAATAAGTATGGTATCGACGAAGACCCAAATTTAATGTAAAAAAAAACATGAACATGAACAAGGGAACAGTACCAGTTTTTACATTGTAAATAAAGGTTATCGTAAATATTGCCCGGTTTGGAAGAAGTTATTGTATATTCATTGAAATTGAAATTACAAAATCACAGGAACAATATCCATGATATTAATTAGAATCATACTTGCAAGTACAGTGAAATATACACTTATTTTATCTTTTGTTTTTATTGTAAATGAATGGCCCACTCATTTGACAACATGGCCCATTAATTCTAAAAATGGCCCATTGAATTTATTTTTGTGAGGGCCTGGGCCCATAGAGAAAAAATCCTTCCAGATCACTGAAAATGGACAGAATATTCAAGCTTGATAAAGGTCTGAATTTGGATTGTAATTAAATATTTGACATATTACAGGTTTCTGAATAAATGTAGACAAAGAACTTGAAATTGGTTATATGAATTGAATTGATATTCAATTAAAGATTTCTTGCTGTTGCGCAATACAGTATGCTGTTGCGCAATACTTGGTAAACCTGTTGTCAGACTATAAACAAATAAAATTTATAAAATTCTAATGGGAGCTTACATCAATAGATATAAACAATTCACCAAAGTTTCATAAGAATTGCTGAAAGCATTTTTGAATTACATGTACATGTATTGTCTGAAAACTGGAAAATCCCCCCCTTTTTAATGAATAAAACCCCATAACTCAGAAATGTGAAATCTAAAATTTATAAAATTCTAAAGGGAGCTTACATTAACAGATATAAACAATTCACCAAAGTTTCATAAGAATTGCTGAAAGCATTTTTGAGTTACATGTACATGTATTGTCTGAAAACTGGAAAATCCCCACTTTTTTAATGAATAAAACCCCATAACTCAGAAATGTGAAATCTAAAATTTATAAAACTCTAAAGGGAGCTTACATCATGAGAACTGCTGAAAGCATTTTTGAGTTATTGTCCGAAAACTGGAAAACCCCCCTTTTTTTAATGAATAAAACCCCACAACTCGGAAACATAAAATCTAAAATTTATAAAAAACGAAAGGGAGCTCACGTCAATAGATATACCATAATACGTCCCGTAATTGGGCGTATAAAAAGGCAAAGATGCATCCACTGATTGTATAAAACTTGTTTAGCTTTAAATATCCAAAATTAGTATGGAAGATACTACAGCATTTTGTACAGGGACTGATATACATTGTAATTTGAAAGAAAATGTTTCTACTTTTACGGATGTACAACAGGATGAATCTGTGGTTGTGGCAGATAAAGGTACTAAAGCAGTCACATCAAACCAAAGTACTAACACTAAACAAATTGTTTCTACCCAGACACCTTAGCATAATTCACTTGAAATGAACTCTACTCCTGTACAAAGTGAAACTGTCCGTCACTCACATTCTAAGTGCGACCCTAATCTGTGACAGTTGTTGACTCTAGCTTGGAACTAAGCACTAAAAACATTATACCATGCCATATAAGTGTCTGTGAGAGAAATCTTACTGACAAGGAAACTTGCAATAAATCTCAGGGTTGTATGACCGAGTTCAAATTAGAACATGAAAGAAAATTGGAATGTTAAAATAATAAATAACATGTACATCGTTAAAATATGTTGAACACAATGATTTATTTCTTCCTAATTCATACGTTTTACGACACATTTTCCAAATTGTCTAGGGGCCCAGGCCCCATTTGAAAAAGGGTAGGAAAATCACTGATATCTAGACTAAAGTAATATGAAGAATGACAACAGAGCTTGCGATTATGAATGATATTAGTAATCATGGTGAAATCAATGGTATATACATGTATATTACAGAAATTCAACTCCGGTGTAAAATTTTCTTCACCCTTAAGTCCAAATAATTACGCCATATTAGATATGAAACTTGGGGCATGTAAATATATTCTGATGTTGTTTTCAGACTTCTTCCTAGGTGTCAGAATGCAAATAATCATGTGTAACTGAGCCTATGGCAGGATTAGTCCTAATAATTATGATGACTTGAAAGGGTTTTTTTTTTTATTTGATGTGTCCTGCAGGCATATTTTTTTGGAAGAATGGCAGGATGTAAATAAGTATATATAACTGAGCCTATGGCATGATGCAAATGAAGTATTTGTCCTTAATACTGCATATTAACAAGGCGGGAAGGAACTAGGCACAGCCACAGGGGTTTTTATTTTATATTTTTTTTTTTTTATTTCTACTATTTCCTAAAAGATCACAAGAGGGATTTTTCATTGGGACCAACCCCCAAGGGTGACTGGGGAATAGAAGTATGGTCACCATTGGTCTTCCTCCGACCGGCAGTAAAACCCGTGCTAAAGTGGGGCGTCCGTTTGGCTGTGCGGGATGTACAAATTTGCAGCCACGTCCGGTCAGAATGGGGACGTTAAATCCGATGCCTCGTGTAAAGAGAGTGCCACGCTCTTTGCACGTTAAGAACCCTTGCAACAACTCTTTGAGGGGTCCGTAGGTGACCTGTTGCAAGGCTAAATTTCTGTCCCTATCCAATATACCCTCATTTCCCGTGGCAGTCTAAATTTCTCCGACCTTAATCCCTTAATCTATTACAGAACCTACCTATTGTATTTATTGTGAACTTGTTCTCGTCCTGAATATGCATGAAATATTTGCCACTGGACGTTAAGCAACCAACAATCAATCAATCAATCATTGGGACCATAGGATTTACAAACCCCCGTGTTTCGGTGTCTTTAAAAAAACGACGGCTACTGGTTGAAATTAAATATTGCAGCACGTGGTCAAATTTTTCTGTTCTGTCCAAAGGCAAGGCACAAGTCATGCCGCCTGCATTTTAGCACATTTCTACATTATAATACCTGATAACGATAAAATAAACCATGATTAGCCTTCTAAAACATGTTTTCTCCTGACAATGGACCATATTGAATACAATTTTCGATTCGTTGTCATAAGTTTGTTCCACCAGGTCGTTCAAATCACAACTAACAAGTGCTCGGCTGCTTCAATTAACTCCAATTAACCGACTTGCAAACTGCAAGCTTCGCGCCTACATTGAATTTCCAAATTAGGTAAAAAGTGGGCGGAGCTTAAACTCCGCTTGCGATCATTCTTTTGATAAATACAGCTTTCACTCGAATTATTTCCATTACTTGATGTGAAAATACATTATTATATGAAAAAAGACACCATATGAGATATATTTTAACATTTATGTGATGCGCGTAGCTTACCTATTGCTTCATTTATTACTGTGTCTGCAACGACAGAAATCGCCCGCCATTCTGAATTTTGTTCCTGATAGGGGAAATAACTCGTGCACTATTTTTTTATTCGTTTTTGCGGGAAAACCACCTTAATGTCGCTGCGAAGATTTTATAAATTCTCTATATGATTTTGATCATTTGTTTTATAAGATGAAATAACATGTTATAAACAATTCAAATATATATTATTTTCAGAGCCATGACAGCTAAACTTTCATGCAGATGGACGAAGAGAGGCATAATAAAGTTTGACGACGTCAAGTTCAGTGTTGGAATCAATTATCTATCAGCGTATAAAAGTACCGGGGAGTTTGTGGTTGATAAAGAGGAAATTTACAAGATATCAATTTCAAAATAAGTAGAAATAGTGCTCACTTCTACATTACTTGAATGATAATGTGTTATTGATGACAGAGATTGCTCCTTCTGATGGGACTACAAAAATATAAGATTGAAAAAGATAACTTTTCTAAACATGTCATTTGTAGAACATGTTGTTTGTTGTTTTAAATTTGCCAAGAATGAAGCGATTTGAACTACATGAACAAGAACAATTTTTGTATTTTTGTCTTTCATTTTTGCTGTTGTGCTTTGTCTATATGCCTGTTTGTGTCTCTTTGTTACATATTTCATCCATGCCATACTTCATCCATGGCATTTAAGAAAGAGATACCAGATTCATGGAAAGATAGGGAATCCCAAGTATTGACAGGCCCCTACAGTTAGTATAAGGAACGTACATGGAGAATGAGTGACAGGGATGGGGTCTGCCCAGTGCCAGAGTGCCCTGTCATTACCAGGCGCCTGAGGGAACATGCTTTGGCGGACCACTTGTCGCCAATGTTCGATTCAAACTTTGGCCGAGAAGTAATGAAAAAACAAGGGTTTCATATGTTCCGAGTCCACATGGTGATCTTGCTGGCCAGATGGCTCACGGGAAGGGAAGGCGAAACATCAGCAGAGTTTGTGAGATGGCTCCAGCAGCGATCCCAAGGGGATGTAAGATTCAGGGATTAGACATGCTACCCCTGAGAGCAGTATGCTCCGCCATGAAATGGGAACAACTCCGTATCTATTCACTACATCCGTAAATAGCCCAGTTGTCATTCATTACTGGTGTGTAATCCTGTCTGTACGTACTTCGCCTTTTGAGTCCAGCAAACATGTTTTGACATTATTGTTATCATTCGAAATATATACGTTTTTCCAAGGATATAACTTTTTTCCGATTAATCGTGAAGTTGAATCTAAACTGTAACACTCGGACATTAACCTTTCATTTATCACTGATCATGGCAGATCGCCGTGCACCTCGTTTCAGACAGGACTAATCAGTGGGATAGTGCCGACCCAGCTAATTATACAGCTAAAAAACTGAAAGACGAGTTAGAAAATATCAACATTTTTGTCTCAGTTTCACTGGGATTGATTGATTGATTGGTTGTTGGTTGGTTGCTTAACGTCCAGTGGCAAATATTTCATGCATATTCAGGACGAGAACAAATTAACAATAAATACAATAGGTAGGTTCTGTAATAGGGGCGTTCGGGATTTAGGTCGGAGAAATTTAGACTACCACGGGAAATGAGGGTATATTGGATAGGGACAGAAATTTAGCCTTGCAGCAGGTCACCTACGGACCCCTCAAAGAGTTGTTGCAAGGGTTCTTAACGTGCAAAGAGCGTGGCACTCTCTTTACACGAGGCATCGGATTTAACGTCCCCATTCTGACCGGACGTGGCTGCAAATTTGTACATCCCGTACAGCCAAACGGACGCCCCACTTTAGCACGGGTTTTACTGCCGGTCGGAGGAAGACCAATGGTGACCATACTTCTATTCCCCAGTCACCCTTGGGGGACAGTTTCACTGGGAAAGAATATGCTCAAGAAAATATACCTGGCCAATATTGCGCGTAGGAACGTTGCCCCAGCTGACCAATAGATGCATGCAACTCATCACAGACGTGAGAATCGGCAGACAATGCACCAAATAGTCATTCTTCTGATGCATTATGTAAGTGCCAATTTGAATATTGCTAGCTCAAATCAAGTTCCTTAAGTTCAAAGAGATTTAACATCGGGCAGCGGTAGCAATTCGGCTAAAAGTAGCGCCGTGACAGAACCGCGGATGAATTCTCGCAGTGGAATGGCCGTAACTACGTCATCCAATATGGCGGCGCAGATGTGCCAGTAATGTCCACAACGGAGTTACGACAGGTATTTTGAATTCCATGCAGTCCATGCAAGGAACTATGATTGGTCTACAACAGACAGTCATCAAATTGATAAATATCAACGACAGACCAATAACCGTTGATGTTAACAACCTCAGCACTGCATACGCAGCCATGAGAAACAACGGTCCAAGTACCAGTTCAGGAGCTGAATCTAGCCAGACTTTTCCTTTGAATGGTGGGTATTGTTTCTCTATTTCGGAATTCGGGATACTATCAGAATGCATCCCACATGTTGACATTGTTTCTGAGGTTATTAAGAAACGTATTTGGGAGGGAAAAGATGTTAACCTCGCGGCCCTGTTTACCCATAAACACAATGCAGACAAAAAACATTGTTCAACAACAAGGGTCTATCATGATTAATCTTTTAAGTGAATTCATAACTGCTTTTGGCAAATATAAAAAGAGTGATGTGTTCAAAATTCCCCAATTGGAGAATTGAGATGGACAGATATGAAGCCAATATTATTTATATATACAATGTATATGGGGCTAAATTTTACGACTATCATTAGCAGTTTTCAGCCAGGGCAGCAGCCGTATTTAGAAACTGAAACATTGACGTTGATTGGTCGATCAAAGATACAGCCATGCTCAGTATGGTTGCGGAGAATGCCAAGGTCAAATCATGGTCCAATTGCTCATCAACTATGCATTTATCTTCATTCTGTCCACAGCTATATTTTAGGAACAAACTAAATGACCAGCACAGTTAATTATTCAACAAGTTCAAACTTTGCTGTGAACCGATATGGCAGGAAAAGAGTTACACACAATGAAAACTGAACTCTGCAATAACTTCAACGATAGTAAGTGTAATAGGCAACCTTGTCAATATGCACATATTTGTTCAATTTGCTTCTCAAATAACCATCCAGCAGACATCTTTTTCCTGTGTACGTATCCTATGACTGGAGGACCAAGCTCACCTGTAATCATAACGTCTGCTGGAAGCAGGATTTAAGATTGATGATCTCATTTGTAAATCAGAGAGCAAACATGGAAACAGCTATATTCACATCATTGCCAGTCCGTATTGGAAATATTGGCCCTATATTCACATTTGATGTATGTAATACAGCATTCAGAACAAGTCTGTATTAAAAAAGTTGGATTATTTAATAAAAGTGTTATGAACTGGCTGTTTCTGTATTGGCACTGGTATAGATAATCGGTCAGTTGTATTGGCCCTCGACCCTACGGGTCTCGAGGCCAATACAGCAAACCTTGAATCTATACCAGTGCCAATACAGAAACAGCCAGTTAATAACGCTATAATATAGTCCAACTTCTTTCAAAAATGAAACAATAATTTAAGTAGGAACATTATAAAATAAATCAAACATACTATTAACATTGAAATGTTTTTTACGAATATCAGCAAAATCAATACAATTAATTAAACATGTTTAATAGCATACTTGCAGTTGCAAGGTATACATTGTGGTTGATCTTCATTTTTAAGAAGATATTCGTGTGTTATTCTAGTATGATCAATGAAGCATTTCTAGATGCCTCGCTGCCCATCTGTAAATTTCATGTAGTAAAGAACATTTAACCGTGAAATAACAACATGTAATTGGGCATTTAATCTGCACAGCGCTATGTAGCTTTAGATTCTTTGAGAAATTAGTGCAGAACACTAAAGAAGGTTACAAAGCCAACCTAAAACTGATTGAGATCGGGACAGGTATTCAACTATATTGAAACAAACTGGCATGAAATACGCAATGACTGGGTTGTAGGGCTCAATTATGTTGAAGGATCCCTGATGAAGACTACAAACAATAGAATTGAATCTTTCAACTAGAAACAAGTTATAAAGCTGTAATCCAGCCTTGAAATCTAATATGAAAATTGTATTTCATTATTATGCACCGCTTATAAGAGTTGTTGTCCTTTAATTACCTCGGCCTTGATCTTGGGAGGTGGGATTTTTTTCATTTTCATTTATTATATACAGGAAAAGCACTACGAAATAACTGTGGTCTCGGACCAGATGTTTCTCCAAGCAGGAAGCTTAAACAGGCATAAATAATTTTCATGTGTTCCTTGTAATCACCACTTTTTATATGTACGATAATGTACGTCATAATTTCGAACACTTTTTAAAGTATAAAGTATACAGTTTTGCCGAATATATATGTAAACTTTTGTTCAAACAATAATTGAGCCTCATGGCTTTAAAATCGTAATAAAAAAAGTATTGTAACGTTTATGGGTCATCGCAATTTCCCCTTTTTCTACTTTTAGATATTATATAAGTAAGTTGTACTTTAAAATTCATTTATTTTGTATTTTGATGTTTGACTTAAATATTTCTTTTCGGTTTGAAAGTCAAGCATTTCTAAATTAATTTACGTTTCCGTTCCAACATAAATAGAGGGAATTGTACACTAGCTAGATATTTTATGATTTCGGGTTAAGAAAGAGGTTGGGTTCATTGTGATAGCGATATTTAGAATGGTTAATCCGAGGGATATTTTAGAGTAACGGTCGTCAATCTTCGGAATTGTTCATGCCTTACTCTGAAATATA